CCCGCCCCGCTCCCCGCGCCCGCCCCCAGCGTGGCCGCCCCGGGCGCCATCTTGGGCGAGCTGGGCTGGGCGGGCTGTGAGGGGAGAGCGGCCCGGGCGGGGCAGGGAGGGCTCCTTGCGTTGCGTGTTCGTTCAAGTGTCGTTTCAAGCCGCTCAGGCCACCGAGGAGGGCTGGAGAAGGGCTGGTTTGCCACGCTCAAGATGGAGGGGTAGCGCTCAGGCGCCCCTGAGGGGAGAGATTTCCAGCCAAAGGGCAAAGTCCGGGCCCTTTGAGCTGCTCGGGCCCTTTGAGCTGCCCGGGCGGCTCGCGTGGCTCTGCCCGGGCAGGTGCCCCCTCAGAGGCAGAAAGAAGCGGTGTGAGGTGCTGTGGGGAAGGCGAGAGCGATCCCTGCGGCCATGGGCAGCGAGGCGGCGGGAGGGCCCTGCGTGCTGGGCATAGACCTGGGCACCAGCTCGGTGAAAGCGGCCCTGCTGGAAGGGGCAGAGCCAGGGCAGGTGGTGGCCCAGACCTGCTCCAGGGAGACACAGGCACACAGCAGTAGCCTGGAAGCTGGACCGCAGGTAAGGGGGGGCAGATAGCTCTGCTGGCACCCACAGGTGCCTTCCTTGCCTTCCTGGACGTCCTTTTTGTGCCTGGATTGTCAGGTGGTTGTTACATGTGTCTGAAAGTACAATTAGAATGTTCTCTATTTGCAATTCAAGAAAGCCGAGTGCAGCAGCTTGATTTAAGGCTCAGGTTTTGAAAAGTTGCTTGAGACAGCTAAAATTAGTCTCCCATGAATCACCACTCTGTTTTTGGTGCTACCAGTCAGGAAACAGCACCCATTTGGCAATTAGAAGGGTATTTTGCACTTTAATGTGAGATGGAATCATAACTGGAAATTCCCAGTGGAAATAACCAGGAATCTTCCTGTTAAGGATGTTAACGTTCATTGTGTTGGTCAGTAGAAAAAAGGAAGAATCAGAATCATAAAAACGATGTATCAACATTCCTCTGGCCTAGTATTATAGTGAGTTCAGGGGCAAATCTCTGAGTAAAGATACCAAATAGGCCAACTCTCCTCTCTACAGTCATGTTTATGCAGCCAGAAGTATGTATGTACAGATTAGTTTGCATCCTTACATAGACTATATTTGAATACTTTTGCTTATACTCTCCATACTGGTTTGTCATAAAGGAACCTGAATCTTCAAAAGTGTGAAAGCTGGAATACAGCTTCCCCACTGGCAGGGCTTGGTCAGTTTGCGGAGTAGATCAGTTTTCTAGGTCGTTTTAGGAATAGAGTATCCAGAAACAAAGTAACATAATCGACAGAGTCAACAGGGAGTAGCTACAGGGGGGGCTTTAGGGAGGTAGGTCTAAGCAAGACTGCAACCCAGTCAGAACAGGCAGATAATCCTCTTTGTAAAGAAAAAGAACAATGTATAAGGTGAACTAATGAAAGCATGTAATGAGTGTTTATGGATTTATTTATTTTTAATGTATATTTGAGTATGGTAACTCAGGAAATTAAGAATGATTTGGCCTTCAGCTGAAGAGGCTGTTATCTCTCCCAGCTTGCTAGTATTGGTTTTTAGGTTTTGTGGTGTTTCTTGCATTTATTTTTTTTTTTCAATTTAGCAGTGAATGTTATTCTAATACATGCTATTAAGCTAAATGAATTCTGTTCTTCACTTCTGACTGGAGTAGCCTTGTTTAATAAATACAGTGGGTGAATCCTAATGGCTTCGTGCTGAGAATAATGCTTTATGATTACAGGGAATGGAACAGAATGTCCAGAGAATAATAAGAGCACTGAATGAATGCCTTGCTGCTCTACCTCAGCAGCAGCTTCAAAGAGTCAGTCACATTGGCATTTCAGGACAAATGCATGGGATTATGTTTTGGAAAAAAGATAAAGGTAACATGAATTTTTTTTTTTGGAGTATTATCATGCAGAAAATAAATTTTTCACACTGAAGTGATCTGTAGGAAACTGTTGCATGTTTGCTTTGTTCTTCTGTAAATCAGAGCTTCTGTAGGAATTTTGCTTTAATTACTGGAATTTCAGCTCTAGATGACTACATTATTTACATAGATTAGTTGAAGTCTTATGAGATCCCTGCAGGGCCAGTGCAATTATTAATATGGGGGAATAACGTATTTGTGGCTTGCTGATTGTTTGTCCATCCTGTGCCATCTGCTGCCAGTTGAAAGAACTTCTGAATCATGTGAATGGCTTTTTGGGAGGGGAATATTATTCACCTCATAAAACACCTAAGTAGTTGTTGCCCAGTATCTCAAACCCTTTCAATGACTCTGCAGTGGCATTGTTAGCTGTCCTGTGTATGCCTTGGAAAATGATGCTATGCTTGCTCCTTCTATTGGAGTTTGCCTAGGGTATCTATCCATCAGGGAATACCACTATGCTCTTCTGAAATGCTGTTTGGTAGTGCAGTAGGATAAAACTGAAGTTCAATAGATTGTTTTCAGTCCTTTTTTCCTCCCCCCTTCCCCAAATCTCAAGGTGTTGTGTTTTGTGTTTTTTTTTAAACAATTATGGTCACAATTCTGAATGCTCAGCTGCTTGTGGCATGAGGGGCCAAGACCTCTGAAACAAAATCAGCCACAGTGACGTTGTCACATGAGGTTTGGTTGTGCAGGTGCTCAAAGAACACTTGTGACAGCCAGGATGTTTGAAACATTCAGGCCCTGGATTGCCAGCTCTGTGACATGAGAGATGAATTATCTCCTGGCTAATGTCCTACAAACCTACTGAAGTCTAAGCCTCTCAGAATGTGGTTCCATGTCTTCTTTCTCTTCACCTTACGTTGCGTGCATCTGAACAATTATACAAGTCTGATGAGAGTTATGCAGATTAAACAAAGATTTATCATAAACTAGACTCCTCAGAAGCGCTGGTCCCTCCCTGTCAAAAGTTGTCATGGTCTTAATTGCTTTAAGAGACTCTATCCTATTCATTACTGGCTGTAATTTTATGTTAAATACTAAAATGATTTCAAATAAAGAAATCCAAAGGCTGATGGGCCAAAGGAGCCATTGCTTGCTTTCCATCTGTCCCAAGGGCTGCATAAGAAAGCCTCATGGGTTCATGTGAGACATAGATTCTTATGGCATATTGGTTAATATTTTATTTCCTAATGCCACATGCCACTTTTGTTTCTTTTCTATCAAATGGGAGAGGGTGTTTGCTCTCACTTGTTTTGAGTAGACTAAGTGAATCTGTGCACTTCGGGACACAAATTGCTTTTTTAAAAGCATCCTTTAGGAAAAGATT